GCTAACTTCAGCTCAGTGGGGGTTCGAGCCCCGTGCCGGGCTCCGTGCCGACAGCTCAGAGCCTGGAGCCTGCTTCAGAGTCTGTGTCTCCCTCTCTCTCTGACCCTCCCCGCCTTGTGCTCTGTCTCTCTTTCTCTCAAAAACAAACAAAAAAAAAAAAGAAAAAAGACTTCAGTCTCAAGTCCAGCTGTGCATTTAATCACTAATCCACCCCCAGAGACTTGGGGAATTTTTTAATTTTGTGTTGCATTGAGGAACAGTGCTTTGTGCAAAGGCACATTCAATGCACATTTTAATCCCCAATTCAAGTATATTCGTGTATTTGTCTTATACTGAAAACCCGGGGTCAAACATGGTAAAACCTGTATGTTACAAGCATCTGAATGTTACCATACTGTGATCAGGAAGTACTTACTTACAAGACAAGCATGCCAACTTAATGCAAAGATCGTTAACATATCCTCTACCCTAAGTTTCCATTCTCAGAAGACATCAGTTTATAGAGTGATCTGCATGAAAACCAGTCTGATGTACAGACGCTGTGACATGAGGAAGCCCCCATTATCCACACAGGTTTAGTCATTCAAATAACTAAAAGTAACAAAGCTAGGTCTTTGTTCGTTGTGGCTGTTTCCGCAAATACCATACTATACTTGTGCAAAATGTAAACGTTTCATTGAAATATTTTATGTCACGTAAGTTCATAAAAATGTTATCAAAGAAAGTATTCACTACTGATTGGGGCAGAGTGTGGATAGTTAAATTGCTGCCCCACAGAAATTTCACTGACAGTGATTAGAAATATTCTAAATTTCTTGGGGTGCCAGGGTGGCTCAGCAGGTTAAGCATCCAGCGCTTGATTTCAGCTCAGGTCATGATCTCACGGTTTGTGAATCTGAGCCCCCACATCGGGCTCTGTGGTGACAGTGCAAAGCGTAGTTAGGATCCTCTCTCTCCCTGTCTCTCTGCCCCTCCTCTGCTTAAAGCTCTCTCTCTCAAGAATAAATATAAATTAAAAAAAATATTTTAAGTTTTTTGAAAAACTACAGTTTTGCCAACTTTCCTAAGAAATGTGAATTCATGGCAATGTTACATTATAAGGACTCCTTAATTTTTTGAGAGATTAAAGGGTGACAAAATTTTTCCTTTGTGTTGCTACTGAACGAAGAAAACGAAGGTCTAGTGGCGTCCACGTGATAAATGTGTGGCAAATTTCATGGAGTATGCAAAAGGTGAAAATATTCATCATGAGGAAAAAAAATTCAACATGGTAAAGCAAACAAGTCAGTGAACAACTTCCCAAACTGGTTTTAGGGAAATGCTGTGCACCACATGGTAACAAGAAATAATCTGCACTCAAACTTCAGGAAAGAGGGGAGATTCAAAGGGCTCCTAGGGATTTTAACAAGCAAAATGCACTGTGATGATTAAAGAAAAAGCTAAACCTTTCCTCAGCTTCTCACTTTGGTTACAACACGAGCTGTGCAGTTTTCTCTGGAATACCAGGTTTGGGAGTGATTCACTGCATTAAGAGGAATCTTTTCAATAGAACACCTCAACAACACCATTTTTCTGCAAAATCCTGGGCCAATGTGCTTACTCACAAGAAATGTGACTAAATATAAAACTGAATCCCCCCCCCAAAATAGTATTATGTGACATATCTGAGGCAGTGACAACAAAGGCTATTTTGTCAGTGAATACCATCACCGCGGTGATGTCCTCAGAGATTAGAAGCACGAAATTACCCACTATAATACGCACTCCATACAAATGTGACCACTACTCTCCTAGCAATAACCCTAACATACAGATGCTTTCTGAGGCCCACTGTCTTCTGACATTAACCTGGGGAATCGAAGGTTTGTGAGACAGAAGCAATAGCAACACAGGAGTGCAGGGAAACTATATTTATAGATAAGGTTGAGAAAGGTTTAGAAAATACTAAAGCAGCAAAGATGAGAGATTCAACTGTGTAAAGAAGTTCCGAATTTTTGAGGGAGTAAAGCACTGTGAAATCAGATAAGGAAAAACTCTAATGGGGGCAGAAAGGACCACCTAGAAGCGGAAGACAAGCAGTTACTGGTAACATAAAATTCAGAATTCTCCCAATGAAGTGTCACTACATCATTGATATTGTAGAGAAGGCAATGATCTTGCACCTTTAGCCCTTGAATCACCTAGGATAAAATTTTAATATACTACATACCCAAACAATTGTATGTAAGAAGCACTACTATGTTGTTCCCACACAAATTTATTATATAGCAAAACCTTGCTTTGTGAGCATAATTTGTTCCAGAAACATGCTTGTAATCCAAAGCACTTGAATATCAAAGCGAATTTCAAGAACCGTTGGCTTAGCTGTTATCACGTGATGTTCGGCGACATGTACTAACTACTTGTACTGCAAGACGTCGCTCATTTATCAAGTTAAAATGTTAGAAATGTTTGCTCATCTTGCAGAACACTCGCAGAACGAGTTACTTGCAATCTAAGGATTTGCTGCGTCACGTTAACATTTTTCTTCCTTTACTACCCAGTGTCTGAGCTATTAGCAAGCTCTTCTACTTGCTTATGTTGACTTTACTTAATAAACATTTAAAAAAAAAAACAAACAAAACAACCACCTCTCTCGCCTACAGCAGGATAATAAAGTAGCACTTACTTTGCTTCATAAGTTGAACAGCTAAAGTCGGACAGTTGGAACACATCAGAGAAAACATGCGAACCACCATTATAAACATCCCAGAACTTAAAATTGGTGGGGTCACTACCAGTAGCTGTTGAACATTTGTAAGCAGATCTTTGGAGGCAACCTGCTGGAGTAAATTCTTCACAAACAGAAGGAAAAAAGATACTATTATATTGTGATTCAGCAATTTAACCTTTTCACAAAAATACCACCAAAAACTACATGCTCACCTCCTCATGTTGGAAGTTGTCCACCAGACGTGCAAAACAAAGGCAAGTGCTTTCAACCGACTTTTTGTCCTATTTTTTTAATAAAAGAAAAAAGTTTGTTAATAGAAAACTATCTCATATTATTACCTAATTTTCTTCCTATCCCCAAATTCTTCAAGGCCAGCCCAATTAGATGGGCTCTGAAAACCCAATGAGCCTTTACAATAAGCAAGGTACAATCAGTAACACCATGATTTCAAAGCAAAGAGAATCACACTGAGAGAGCTTCTCTCCTCCGTTAAGGCCCCAAGAGATAAGAGAAAATATATAGAAAGGAAGGAACAACTTTTGTGCTTCTGCTAACTTAATACCTAAACACAAATTATAATAAAGATACCACTCTAAAAAAGCATTCCCCATAGGAAGGTTTAAAACATATATACACTAAAAAGTTGGAAACAGTTCAGTATACAAGCATGAACCAGAGGTTTACTGATGATGTGCGAAACCAGGTGTAGATTTGTTGTATTCACTATGAAAATAATCTAGAAAAACTAGTGCAGTGGCCTCATTCAGAAAACATATGAAATGTCCTTATTAGAATGGGAAGAATAACTTAGCAGCTAAACAAGTGTTTTGATACTGCTATTTTTTCTTCCTATCGATAAAGGGGCTTCAGATATGAAAACCAGACGTGCTTCTATAAAAGAATAACTCTGGTGTTATAGAAGCCCTATGCCCTCACCATCAGTACTTCAGTCTAGACAGAGTGCTACAAATAACAGAGACCAACTATTAAACTTCTCTGATTCTCACACTTTATTTCCAAAGTAAGGTACTGAAATCACAGCCAACCCAAGAATATACTTCTATCCCTGATAAGCACAGGCCATCTCAGCCTAAGTTTTAACATTAAAGAAACAACGAATGGCCCGATTTGTGTCTATTTCATCTTATAGAAGCAAAACATCTCAGAGTGACTCAATCATTATTTTATCTATCTTATATAAAGGCCTTATTTAGCATATTCTCTACCTAATTTTCCCAAAAAGATTTTAAACATATTTTGTAAAGGTGACTTAAAAGTCACATTTCCAAAATCATTTTAGCAACAACACTTTAAAAAAAATTGGTTTGCAGGGGCGCCTGGGTGGCTCAGTCGGTTGAGCGTCCGACTTCGGCTCAGGTCATGGTCTCGTGGTCTGTGGGTTCGTGCCCTTAGTCGGGCTCTGTGCTGACAGCTCAGAGCCTGGAGCCTGCTTCAGATTCTGTGTCTCGCCCTCTCTCTGCCCCTCCCCTGCTCATGCTCTGTCTCTCTCTGTCAAAAATAAACAAACATTAAAAAGAATTAAAAAAAAAATTGATTTGCATTAAAAAAATTTTTTTTGATTTCCCCACAATGAAGCTTAACTCATGGTCCTCCACACCAGGGTCTCCTGCTTCTCATCCTCCAGCACCAGGCCCACCACTTCCATCTCCCAAATAATGGCTCCTGCTCTTCCCCAACCTCAGACAGCCACAGTCTGCATTTTTTTTCCAGTTCATTTCTATTTGGGACACAGTCTCTTCTCACCTCCGATCTGAGCCCGTAACTTCCTAGTCTTTCCTGACTAACCCAATGCCTTACAGGTGAGACGATCGTTCCGAAAGGAAACTCTGATTTTATCACACAAGAAACACTCAATGTTTGCTGAAATAACCATTCCATCCCTTAAAGTCAAAATACCTGAAGACATCAAGCATATGAAATGCTGGTCATTTGGGTAAGTCCACCAAATTATATAACATAACCTAATGTGGTACATGACTGGAAAGCACAGAGGAAAGAAACATGGATCAGAGTATTTCCAATTTATCTATCCAGTTGGAAGAGTGAAAGCCCTAGATGAAAGTGGCATTTTAAAAGACATTGTAAAAACATGTTATGACACACAAAACAGATTCATGTTTTACCTGATGGGTTAGCCTTTGGGTGAGCAACGGGAGGGAATCTGCCACAAAATGAAATTCATCCGGCGTGATACTCTGGCAGCAATTGGCGGCGATCGCTAGTGCATTTCTTTGGGCATTTATGCTGAAGAACTCTAGATACAGCAAGCAGTCCGCCAAACCACCCTAAAACACAGGAAACCATTCAAGTGAAGAAATGCCCTCTAACAGCAACTAAACAAACAAACAAACAAAACTACTAAGAAGTCTAACACATCACTTTGGAAACATCATGCGTACCTTACAGAGATTGCAATCTAGGAGCTAGGACAAATGTGGATCTAAGATCCCCCTTGAAACGAAATACAGTCCTTGGGTGGCAACACCTACCGCCTGTAGAATGGCTTTACTGTGTCTGCGTGATAACATCTCCAAGGCGGTCAAGGCCTGCTCTGCCACATCAATACACTGAATAACCTGCAGCTGGGAACATAAAAATAGGTAACTTAAGCCCATCATTCAAGCTCTTGTCTAGTCGCTTATCTTCTACACGAATAAACAGTTATTTTCTCTAATTTCCATCAATCTGTATACTGCCTCTGACATGAAACCCACCATAGAAAACCAGTGATTTACGAGCTTAAGCTATATAACATACAGTCACTATGGTTTCCTTCCGACTACCTTGCTCTGTTTTAGGACACAGAAAAATAGGTTTTCCATAGAGAGTAAGCTAAACCCAATGAAAGGACTTGAAATCTTCAGATTTACAATAAATGGGTGGTTTTATGTAACAAATTTTAAAAGTTAGCTTTTACACTTTATATCCTATTCCAAGGTTATCAGACAATGCAAATTTTATTATGCATTAAAAAAGAAAGAGGCCCTTAAAACAGACCAAAAACACAACCTACCACAGGCCACATGAAAAAATTTCCTTTCTCCACTGACTCACTTTATGACCTTGAACAAGGCACTTTGTCTGTCTCAGCCTTCTCAGCTGTAAAATGAGGGTATAAATAGCTATCAACCTCATTGGGATATTTTCTAGAATGAGATTATTTTAATTAAGTGCTTGAAGTTCTTCTCTGAAAGATTTTATAGTAATGTGGTAAACTGCTTCCATTAAAAATTATAAAGCTGAAATGATTCTATGAAATGCTTTATTAGCATCAACTTTAAACTACTGGTCTGCTAAACATAAAATATTTTTCTGGAATCTTGGCTAAAAAATATACTTTGACTAGAAAATAGACACTAAAAAAAATGTCCTTTAAGGTGGCCTTACAATGTGATGTACCACTTTAGAATTTAGAAGTCAAGAGTCCTCGACTGGATTCCCCTACACCTGCTACCGAACGAGCTGAGCAAAAGCAGGATTACCTTTTCTAAGAAGACAGGAATTGCATCTACGACAACAGCAGATGATCGAGGAAGTGCTTCCATCATGTATGTTAAGGCTCGACAAGCATGGTTCATCTGGAAAACAAGAAGGCACTTTTACTCAATGAGAACCCAACATTTAAATTTGGGATATTCAAAATATACCATATACTTACAATATCGAAATTATGTTCCATCTGCAGTAATGTTATCTGTTAAAAAAGATAACAAAGTGTTAGAAGCTATCTATATTCTTAGAGGAAAGCCCTAGAAGAACGGTTTCTTCCTCTATGTCAACGGAAATGGAAAGTATTGTTCAAGACTTTTATCATACAAAAATAACATCAAGATAAAACCTAGCACACACACAAGAAATGATTTATATTAAGGATGGCATGACTCACAGACTACTCGGAACTCTGCTAGATGATCATCCCCTTTCATGATCCAGGTCAAAAAGAAAGCTTTCTTGTCACCTATAACCAACTACTCTCGTTACCTCCAGCCCCCCTTCAGAATCCCAGGCATCAATAAATACTTAATACATAAACAAACAATGCACTGATGTTTGTGAACAGCTGTCAGTACAGAGTCAAGGCCAATGCTTCATCTCTTGTAAATAAGCTTCTCTACAAGTTGAACCAAACACCATTTAATTCAGCTGTAATATGCACAGTAGTATAGAATCTAAACACAAAATTGATCACATCAGAAACAAATTATGCACTAATTAAAACCCAAGTTAATGTAATTATTCTACAAATACAGGAGAGAATCTAAATATTTTATTTACTTTCTCTTGTGGAAACGTCCTTAAGCAAATTTCAGCCATGTTTTTCAAAGGTGGGAATACCCCTATACAGAAGTATATATGTATATATGTAAATTGTCCATCCTCCTGAAGCAGCCAAAGCTACCAAAGAAATTTCCTATTTGGGGAAGCAATCTGTCAACGGTCTTCTAGTTCTAAATGGAAAAATTTTAACGCGTAGAATTTAAGCTATAAAGTACCTTTTCAATTAAATTATTTAATAATGGACGTGAGATATTCTAATACAATATTCATTTCATAGGAGTGCCTTCTCAGCTTTGAATTATGCTGGGTAAGGTATACACACATACTAAAGGACCTGATAACTTTTTGTTAAAACACACACACAAACACATACACACATGCCCCATTTTGGGGTTCAGTGGCACTCAAAACCATCCACAATCAGGCATCTAAAACACCCACTGTAAACTGAAAGGGGTTGTTAACGTTAACAAGAAAAGAAACAAGTTCTTCAATTCTTAAGGTAGAATGAACCTTACAGACCATGTTTGGGAAAAACTGCTATAGATTCCTCATCACCAAAAATGACTACAGTCACACAAGTGAATGGTGATGGATGGATATATAATCACAATATTCAATTATGATACAAGATAAATCTGGCCAATTCATTAACAGCAGTTAGTATTAATAGCAAGAGCTGACTTGTGCAGGCCTACTGAGCACTCAAATCTAATCAACAACTAAGAAATTAAGTAAATTACATTATGTGCCAACATCTGTGCCTAGATTTAATAGCCTCTTTATCCGACTAATAAAAACTGCATTTTAGGTAACATAAGATAAACCTAGCTCTTTGTGGTTATTTTGTAACGAGCGGGGAAATGAGTGGGGTGAGTGTGAATATTAACAGAGGCAAAATGTAAAGACAGAAAAATAAATACTGCTTTCATTACACATTCAGAAATCAACATTCCAGCCTTCAACAGAATGGCACTGGTAATATTTAAATGCTAGTGTCCATTACCCAGAGGTCTGCGTGGCAGAAGGTAAAGAAACCGGCCCATCCTTTATCACCCCTGCCAGAGCGGAGCCACCCAACAAGAACAGACAAAACAAAGACCATGTCACCCTGTGTTTCAATGAGCTCATTCAACTGCCCCCACGATCTGATAATGTGATCAAATGGGGCGATCCCATATCAACCAAATTTCCGTCAACAAGACTTAACATGATACTTATTTTTAACTTCCAAGGTAAAATATGCTGAGTGTGTTCATGATGTTTATGTTAGTCTTTTAGTCGACTTAAATTTTTATTTTCAATTATAGCCAAGTGTTCTCATCTTGAACTCAGAAAACTACCAAGCCACTATTTAAGACTCAGGGGCACATATTTAATAGCGGCAATTTCTCTTCCTGTTGTTTTCCATTAAAAAGCTTAAGCGATTAAGATGTTAATAAAATTTTAAACATCAACTCACAACCGTGTTGAAAAGTCACCAGAAGATTTTTTTGTTTTGTTTCTTTGATTTTTGCTTAACATAACACCTAACCTGGAAGGATTCACGTGGTATTCTGGCTTGAATGCTCTGCCATTGCATACAATTATCAAACATGAAACCTTTGTGACCCACAAAGCCAGCCCACAAGCAAGCCGTTTAGTACTGCGTATCACCACTTTAAAAGAGAAAGCGTGTCAATTTTGGCGCAGTAAGTCTAGGTCCTACCCGATGGGACAAACAACTGGAAATTGAAGACCAGTCATTTACGTATCAAAGATGGGTAACTACTTACAAAGAAGTAGTTTAGCAGATGTACTGATTCATTATTATAATCAGTCACGAGATCTCTAAGCATGAAGCCACAATCCGCTCTTAGTTCTACCGTATTTTAAAATTCATGATGACACTAATCGTGCTTTCACGGCAGCATCCAGAGAACAACTAAGGTAGAAAGAGGGGGGAAGTCTCTTACCAAAGCAGGAACGACACTCTTGACGGGAAACCCTCCCAGCGTCTCTTCATTTCCCATGACCAATAACTGACACATTTCGATAACCGCCTGGAGTTGCTGGCTTTCATCACTCGCCTGCAGTCCTTGCAGAAGCTGCTGGGCCTTAGAGCCTTCACAGGAAAGAAAATCGTCATTTTCAAACATGCAAGGAAACGGTTCCTAGGTATAAGGTGGGACTCTACGTGGTAGCTGGCTGCTTGTCTTCTTTGGATCCCCATGAAAGGCTGGATCTATTCCAGCGCTAACACAGGGTGCTGATACTTCAAGGCAGAATTAAATGAGTTGGATTTAGTCTACCTTAAAGTGATCTCACGGTATTTACAGATTTTTGTCTTTTAATTTTCCTTTTAAAATCAGACAAGCTGACTGGCTCTTACTAGCTGAAACAAAAAAATGGTATCTGTGAGATGAATATAAATTGTTACCTTTAACATGTATTTTTTTATAAAACCTGTTAAGTTTATTTATTTATTTTTAGAGAGAGAGTGAGTGAGCGAGCGAGCAGGGGAGGGGCAGAGAGAAGGAGAGAGAGAGATCCCAAGCCGACTCCGTGCTGTCAGCGCAGCAAGGCCTGACGTGGGCCTTGATCCCACAAACCCCGAGATCATGACCTGAGCCAGAATCAAGAGCCAAACGCTTAACCGAGGGAGCCACCCAGGCGCCCGTGCGATGTCCTGTCTTAAAAGGAAATGCCGCATACCTCTAAAGACCTGGTCAGCATAAATGGAATCCAGGTTAACAGAGGGCAAGAAAATAAAGACAAACGGAGCAATGCATCTAAGGAAAGAGATTGCAGAGAATGAAGTAGTTCTAAAAACAGGAAAAGACTGGGTTTTTCACCTCCTCTCATTCCCAGTGCAGATGTTGCCATCAGAGTGCGAGAGAGTACTTTCACTTTTAAGGCTCAAATCCATTGCCCAAACAACTGAAAAACACTAAGATTCAGCCACCACAGAGAAAGACTTGTCAGTGACCTGGATAACATACTCAAAAACAAAGTGTGTTTCAAATTTTCACGAACATCTTCCTACTTGTGAGCATGGTTAACTCGATTAATGCTAACTAAATTATAACTGATGCTACTTCAGGCCCCTTCTCTTCCTATACCTTTTCAAGTTGTTTGTGTATGGGATTTTTCCACTCCTGTATTATTAATGAAATGGCTTAGAAATGGCACACATTTGGAAACTGTCCAATGAATGTGGAATTCACATGAAAACCAAAGTTTCTTTAAAATTGAATTAAGTTACAGTGATCTTCCTGGATGGCACAGCCTTTCAAAGGGACACATGGTGATCCTTGAAAGATTTATTTTTCTCTATCGTGTAAGACTGTGGCTAGTGAACTGGACAACTATTTCTGCCTACATAACTTTAACATAACTAAGAGTCAATCCAACAACAGACCGCAAGAAAGTCAAATTCATATGGCTTGCCATCTTTAAACTTTTCCAAATAACGTCAGTTCCAGTTAGAGCAGGCTAATCGTTTCTGAGTTGAAATGTGAAAGGCCAAACAAATGAATGGAAAGTAAACTAATGAAAACAAAAGAATCCTCGGTGGCTTCTAGATTTGCTTTTCAAGGATGAAACAGCTCATAAAAGTATACACTAATAGCACAACCACCTAAAATAGGAAAAACTGACACATGCCACTGGATGCCTTATCAACACAGATGTCTTATCAACACTGGATGTCTAGGACATAGATGACGTTAGCATGATCAAAATCATCAACAATAACCACTGAACCTTTAGGATGTTCCTAAAAAGACCCTAAACCAAACCAAAAATGACAATAAAAAGCCAAAGCTATCGTTTATGCTCTGATCAATTTTGGTTTTAGAACCTCTTTGTACTCTTAAAAATTGCTGAAGAGCCCCAAAGCACTCTAGTTTATGTGGTTTATATCTGCTGATATTTATAAATGTGTTTGGAATTAAAAGAGAAAATTTTTAACTATTTGTTAAATCATTACATATTAATATAAACAAAATTTGTGTGAAAACCACCATACTTTCTAAAACAAAAAAATTCAGAGATGACTACGTTTTCTGTTGCAAATCATTTAAAGGTCAAGATTACAAAAAGAACAAAACAAAAAAAAAACTAGCAACAACAACAAAACCAGCAGGTATGACCACCTCTGCATCTACTGTCAATCTGTGGCAACACTGTTTGAGATGAAGAATGTGGAGAACACGGGCCCCAGTTTTCACAAAGACTATTAAAAAGACATGTACTTACTGGTAAAGACAATACAGTTAATAACTTTGCTTAGCAAGGGCATCCTCATGTAAAAAAAAGGCGTTATTTTACTAGGAGCCTATGGTATTGAAAACTACAGTGACTGTTCGTGCAGTTTGGAGCCACTGCTTTGATTCTTTCAATCAAGCACCGACACTTTTACCTACCACAGCTTTTGCACCATCAACATCAACAAAATTCAAACGTGAAACAAAGTAGAAGAGGCAAAACCTCAGCAACTATTACTAGAGTTCTGGCCTATGGATTCAACGCTAGGGTTTCAGGAACAGCCAGCAATCCACAGACGCACACTTTAAGAACCACCATCACAGATCAGGGTTGGTAGGCAAACATTTTTTTTTTTTTTTTAATTTTCTTTTTTTGAACGTTTATTTATTTTTGGGACAGAGAGAGACAGAGCATGAACGGGGGAGGGGCAGAGAGAGAGGGAGACACAGAATCGGAAACAGGCTCCAGGCTCTGAGCCATCAGCCCAGAGCCTGACGCGGGGCTCGAACTCACGGACCGCAAGATCGTGACCCGGCTGAAGTCGGACGCTTAGCCGACTGCGCCACCCAGGCGCCCCGGCAAACATTTTTTATAAAGGGCCAGATATTAATATTTTCGGCTTTAGAAGACATAGGGTCTCTGCTGCAACTATTCAACCCGAGCACAAAGGCAAAAACAGACAATACGTAAACAGATAAGCATGGCTGTCTGTATTCCAATAAAACTTGACGTACACTAGAATTTGATTTTCATTGAATTTTCACGTGTCAAAAAATATTACTTTTGAAAGTTTTTCAGCATTTAAAAATATAAACATCATTTTTATTAGTTCGCAGACTCTATAAAACCAAGCAGGAGGCTGAATTTGGCCACTAGGCAGCAGTTTGCCAACTGCTGATATGGCTGGAGAGAACCCATAGTACTGCTGGGAGTCACAGGAAGCTGATGTTTCCAACTGCATTGGTCCCACCGGACATGTGCTCAGTTCTAGAGCTGTGAAGAGGGCTAGGGATGAATCAGAAGTTTTGGTAAGACAGAACAAAACCTCGTGCATTCTCATGGTGCTCCAGAAGACAGAGGGAGGAGGCCTGCTTCAAATATGTACAGTCAGTGGGCCCTACCCCCCAAGACATCTACAATATTTTCAAATTGCATAATGAATGAAGTCTCAGTCGACAGAGACCTGCAAGGTTCTCAATCAACACCGTGGGAGGGTCACAACATACAAACAGGGATGAGCCAGAGGTGTAACGAGTCATACAAAAATTGCAATTCTAGTCAAAACAAGCTAATGCCCTGAAGGGAACAAATTGATTAGCATCTGACCCTTAATATTTAAATACAGAAAAGGGGAAACCTTTACAGTAGAAAACCTCACTTGGGGTCTCTCCAGTTCTTCTATACAAAACGTCTAGCACATAAATAACTACTAGACACATGAAGAGGCAGGAAAATGTGACAGATAATCAAGAGAGAAAAAAATGGAAACAGACCAACATCATTAGAATTTGAAAAGTTTTTGGGGCGCCTGGGTGGCGCAGTCGGTTAAGCGTCCGACTTCAGCCAGGTCACGATCT